ATCTTATTTCATTGAATATTTTGTACTATCAACATGAAATTTCGATTGAGCAAAATATGATTGACTTGCAAGTAAACTTACTATCCAAAATGTGTACAAGAGTTATGGAGATCAAACTCATCATTTTCACATGCCACAATCATTAATTGCAGGAATTATTGATCGGTGCCACAGACTCTAGCACCATAACGACAGTGTGGCTGATTGTAGAATTAATCAGAAATCAAGATATGTTGTCCAAAGTTCGTCACGAACTAGAAAATGTTGTCGATGGGGACGAACTAAACGAGGCTCTTCTAACCGAATGCCGTTATTTCCATGCGTGTATAAAAGAAACATTGAGGCTTCATGTTCCGGCCCCTATGTTGGTGCCTCATCGTGCCCTAGAGACGTGCAAGGTTAATGATTATGTCATCCCTAATGATAGCGTGGTGTTAGTCAATGCTTGGGCAATTGCTCGGGACCCGAACTACTGGGAAGATGCAACTAACTTCAAACCCGAAAGATTTTTAGACTCGAAAGTAGGTTATAGGGGCACGCATTTCGAGTATTTGCCGTTTGGGACCGGACTAAGGATGTGCCCCGGTTCAAATGTGGCTTTCAAAAACATTCAAATGCTTGTGGGAACTTTGTTGCATTATTTTGATTGGAGTCTTCCGAATGGTGCGAATCCGACTACAATAGATATGGGCGAGAAGTATTTGACAACTCTTAAGAAGGCAAAACCATTGCTTTTGATTCCTAAGTTGAGGAACTAAGATAGGTGGACATATATATTTGTATGATTCTTTCAATAATTCGGGGACTAATGTTACTGTTAACCTCGTGTTGTGGTCAAAGTGGTGTGAGAGTAGAATTACTCATCCAATAAATCACCGAAATTTAATCATATGGTTGTTGCATAAACTTCTCTTTGTCAATCCAATGGCTAATAGAAATAGAGAGAGAAAAAATAGCAACCCAAACCACCTTTAATTCGTCTTCACATCCAAGAAAAAACTTATGGTCTTTTCTTTGAGTCAAACACACAGCATTCTCCCAAACACACACATACAAATATATCGGGAGTTGTGTTTGATTCTTTTTAGATCAATGTTACACAAATTTGTTGTGGATTTTTATTTTTTATAGTTTTCT